TCAATCGATTCAAATCAAACGTTAGTTTGTAGGATTGCTAAATATTTTATTAATATTTTACTTTAAAGAGCTTAAAAATTACAGTAATCTACTATAAGGATTTTGATGTATTTTTAAATCCCTGGAAAAAATATATATTTTTAAAAAATAATTTAATAAACAATAGTACTATTACTTATTATGAAACCATATAACATTATTTATGACCACGAATTGCTTATGAAGTAACTGACACAAAACTTCCAAAACGTTGTTAATATTTTGCATTAGTTATATCTATGATTTGATTCTTTTTTATTAGAATTCATTAAATGATAATAATTAAAAAATATTTGCAGTTTTAATTAAATTTAAATTGAGAACCCGTTGTCTAGATAAATCCTAGTCGTCGTTCATAGTTATCTCTTAATGTACTCGAGATAGGTTCAAGGTAAAAAAAATCATAGGATAGTTTACAGTTGGATTGTGGTTCATTATCCTGAATTAAATAACAATCTGTTTTTTATCTGTAATATTTATAACACAAACAATCGCCAAGGAATAGGGAACATAAAAATGCTTTACGAGGCGACACGGTGTATCCTATTTCAAAAACTGAAATAACAATTCGTCCTCGAATTTCTGAACGCACTTCGTCATACAAAAGCCTGACCTCATTATAATTAAAATATTTGGAATTAAACAGGATAATGATAAAAAATATTGAAATTATTTTTCATATCGACCAAAAGAATCAGACTTTTTACATTTAAGGTATCGTTTATTACCACCAGAAATAATTTACATAATCAGTAGATGTGTTAATTATAATGTAATTTTTTTGATAATTATTTTTTTTTTAATTATATATTTTACCTGTTTCGGTCGTAGCAATCTTTCAAAGCATTCCTACTTTTTTCTTTGAAACAATAAACAGTTTCTTCGTCCGCCATCCCAATATAGTTTTTGGCAAAGGATATTTTTTACGCAATCTATATTTTCAACAGCACCTGTAATTGACATGAAATAATTAATATGAAAGGAAATATTAATAATTAAAGTTCATATTTATTGATATTTATGTGGATTCAACTCGTTTCAGTAACAAATTAATAATAATATACAAGTACAATAAACTCAAGTCTATTAATAACTTTTTTTTTTAATCTCAATTTTTCAAAATCTCTGCAATGGTCATTTTGAATTTTAAAGTATTTTTTTTTTTATCCTAGAGTTTTACATGTTGTCCATTTCAGGATTAGGTGTAAAATTACTATAATATATAAAATGTTTTTTATACATTCAACAATAATTTGAAAAAAAAAATATAATTATGTAACAGATTTGTTGATTATATTACAAACTGAAAATTATATTGCAAAATATTTAAAATATTTTTTTTATTTAGAACAACGAGATTTGACTATTTAAGTATACTTGATGCAAAATATTTGTTTTTTTTAATGAAAATTTTAAAAAAAAGATCCATATTTTTAATTTATATATTAATTTCTTTTTTTTATTATTATATGTAAGTATTTAGTATTTTTTTGTAAGTTATTATTTAATAAATGACTGTTAGAAGACAACTTTCAAATAGTTGACCTATCTATTATATTTTTATTGGAATTTATATATTCATTATATTTTATTAGATTTTAATAGAATTTAGAACACTGATGATATATTTCCAACAAAAATTGATAGTCATTTCATTTTTAAATTGGTTGTGATATCCGAAATTTGATAAAATACCCTTTATAAAGGTAGTCAGATTTTCATACAATAATTGTTATATTCTATGAATGCTATAGCATCCACTTAAAGCTTCTATTTTACGCAATTTTCTTGCTCAAGATAATACGAAAATATCTAAAGAATCAGCTAGTCATTACCTTGACAAGTATAATTAATTGCAAAAACGTATGACTATATATTTTTTTTTGTTTTTATTTATTATTTTGTCAATCAAGACTTGAGTCTTAAAATACAAAACTGTTTGCTTAGGTAATAAAAAAACAATCTAATAAAGTATATATATAATCGGTAACAAATATTAAGAAACTAGAAATATTAAGAAATTATATATTGAAAAAAAAACTATATTGAAATTTAATATCCGAATTTTATGTTGACGCCCCCTAAGGCGTGCGCTCGTATTTTTTGCATGCATTGCATTAAAGGCAGGACCGGCCCTGATTAATACTTAATTTCATATTTTAAGTGAATTAATTTGTCATATCCTGTTCATATATGTATCATCAATCTACCATACAATATATACTGTATTTTATATTATTTTAATTTCTATCACAGCTCAGCTGCTTTTTGGCAATAATAATGTAGACATTTCATTTTTCTTATTCATAATCATAAGTTTATTATACATATTCTATATTGTCTAGGTTCATAAGTAAATTGAAATTTTTGGCAGATGATAGTTTTCATTTGTTTTCAATGCAAACAATGACATGTCGTTTTTTGCATTTTTTTCCGTTTATTTCTATAATATTGCACATACTTTATAATCACATACTTTATAATCCCATACATACTAGAAAATTTCCTTAACAAACTTCAGAAAGATTTATCAAAATCCGAATAATCGTTCAGGAGGAGTATACAGTGAGTGCTTGTAATTTAATATCAACATTATATAATAGCAATAAAGCTCAAATTGATTCTACGTTTTAGTTAGAAAACGTTTGTATGAGAAAAAGAAAAGGGTTGCTTTTAGGGGTTTCCCGGCAATTATTCGATTCTTTATCGCCGTAAGAACCATCCTTGGACTTCAACGAACATTTTAAAAAAATAATTGGTCAAATTGGTCCAGGCGTTGTTGAGTTATGCGCTTACCAACACATTTTGCGATTCATTTTTATATATAAGAAGATTTCTTAGTTAAATGATCATACTGCTACTGCTTGATATCAGTTTTACCATGTACTGTCCAAAACCTAATAATATTTCATACCACCGCTATATCGTCGAATTGCGGAGTTATGGTTAAACTGAACATTTAAATAGTCTAGTAACAATTAAAATACAATACAATTAAAAAGATTTCTTAGTTAAATGGTCATACTGCTACTGCTTGATATCAATTTTACCATGTGTTGTCCAAAACTTAATAATATTTCATATCACCGATATATCGAAGAATTTCGAAGTTATGGTTAATCAAAACATTTAAATAGTCTAGTAACAATTAAAATTATATATTTATAAATCATCTATCCCATTTACCTAAGGGTCTTCCTCGTACTTTTTCCGCTTCCCTGTAATGTGCCCTGAACCACAATGTTTGCAATTCGGCGTGATATCTTGAATCAAATGTGTGAGCCTCAAGTATAGAGTATAATTCATGAAAGACGCCCCTGTGGAAAGCCACAGAAGCCCTGGCCCTGCCGAAATGACAAATATATATATTTCAATAGAATAAATAGAAAAACGTTAGGACCTTTGCGAAATGCCCAGAGGAAGGATTTTTAGTAAAATACGGGAACTTGTGGACGAGATACAATACTTGTAATTAAAATTTAAAGGTTCGAGGGGAAATAACAGGGCCGAATAGCCACACATTTAAAATGTTTAAAAAATTGCAAAATTTTTGTTTAAATCTTAAATAATTTGCCAAAAATACTCATATTATCTATAAAATACCAGTTGCTCTTGACATTCATTCGATTATTTTTAAAATTGAATTGGAAATATTACTTGTTGAGTTATAATTAATTATTATTTGTTCTAAAATTTGAAATCGAGATTTAAGAGTAGAACAAGATATTATAATAATACAATAGTAAAATTATTAGAAACAATAAAATAAATAAATAAGTAAATTTTCTATTTTTCCTAATTATCCTTACATAAAAAACACAGCAAATTTGAATATTTTTTATGCACTGATCTTACTCTTACTTTCTTTATTTATAATATATTTAAAAAAAATGCTTGATATTTATTTTTATTTTATTATTAAAAAAAACTTCATCAGACTAAATTTAATTTAGTTTATTAAAATTGAAAAGATCTACTAAAAGTACTAGTAGGTACATTTCAGAACTTTAATTGGATAATTTACATAGATTTTCAAAATTGTAGATTTTTTTCTTATGCAAGAACAGATATGTAAAGAAGTTTGTATGAAGACATATTGTAAACAAAATAGGCAATTTACTTATTTATTCATCAATTTATTTTAATTCCTATCCAAGCTGTTTGTCGAATGTTAATGGAATATTTAACAAGATTAAATCAAATGAAATATAGAATATTATTTAATATTATAGTACCTTGTTCTACTCTTAAATCTAAATTTTAAATGAATTTTATACTGAAAATTTTGGGCAAATGCGACTGAAAAAATGACTAATGTAGTAATAAACTGATTAAAAATAAATGATTTCCAAAAAAAGATCATGTAATTTTCAAGAGCTTTAATTTAATATTTAAGATGCTACATTTTATTTAGAATTGCAAAGAAATAATTGAAATACACTTATAGATATAACAGTATTAAATATCTATTAAATACAATGTAATCTGTATTTTTTTTCAAACATATTTGTAAGTAAGTATATTGCAAGTTAAATACATATTGGCTAAGTAAGTATATCTACTTACTAAGCCAATTCGTCGAATTAAAAAATGAATTATTTACAATTATTTATTTAAACGTTTTGACACTTTATATATGCCATCATTCAGCAAATCGTACCAGAATTAGTAAAACACAGAATTAATATGAAATTTTAATTTACTCAAACTGATTTTGATTTCAGTAATCATTGATTAAGCATCATTATTTCAAAAAACTTTGAATGTTATAATTTTTATAACAATAGTTATAATGAATAAGATGATAATATATACAAATAAGTTAATTTTTTCATAATGGTCGTTATATAATAAAATATTAAATATAAGATTAAGATAAAATATTAAATAGTTTATGTAGTTTTAATTCTGCGTTTTGTATTCCTAGTTTGCTTAATAATGAAACGTATCAAGTGTCGAAACGTTTAAATATAGAATTGTAAATATTAGTCCACATATGTATATATATATATTAGGGTGGTCCTCAATATGGACATTTTCGAATTTCCTTGCTCCCAAGGGCTCAGATGGCTCCAAACTGATAAAAAACAATTCTCTGAAAGTTTTAGCTCTTAATATTAACTTTTAAATAGTGGGAGCAAGAAAATTCGAAAATGTCCATATTAAGGACCACCCTAATGTGACCCCAAAGAATAAAGACTTGAAAATAATAACTATTAATAAAAAAGTAAAAATACCACGAAAAATTACCATGTCGTAAAAACAAAGATTTAAACGAATTGAGTGAGGAATCTCTTACTCGAAGAAGATAAAAAAAATGGCCTTACAATCTAAAAATAAAACGTTATAAAAATGGAGAATTCATTGGAGATAATATATAATGTTGCTGCAATTATTATAAATAGAATAAATAATAAATATAAATGAAATAGGTTAGAATATTATACATATTTTTTTACCAGATTTGATTTTTTACCTCAAAACGCTCTCGTTCCCCCGAAGAAGTTCCGTAGGCGGCAAGCTCCACAAAAAAGTCGCAAGTCTCTCCAAATCTCCGCGTTGCTGCAAAGCTTCGCACATGCATTGAATTTGTTCTGACTAAAACTAACTAATTTTCTATTTCCATCCCCCTGTCCCGTCGAAGGAGTATATAAAGGGCACCGAATTTTCCCGATTTTCCGCCAACCTCGCCGACGGCCCTGTGCTTCCAAAGTCTGCGAAATCGGTTTCGGCTCCAACGTCTCGCATTTGGAGAAGAAGTCGTTGGATAAATTTAAGGTTTTTCCGCGGTCTTCGACGGTATTTGTCATATAGTAAGGATCGTTTTTTTGGTATTTGGTACAAAACATGAAGCTTTTATTGGGTGTTGTAAAAATCGTCTGTGAATTCGCTGGAGCTTCGTTTGATGGCGTATAAATTTCTGTTGGCGTTTTGGGCGAATAAAACATTTATATTCGGTTGTTGTTCGTAATAGTTCATGTTGGGGTTGATGTTTAGATTTCCATTTTCTTCACTTGAAGCATTTGATTCTACTAGTCGTTCGGGGGATGAATTTGTTGTCATATTACTACTTAGTAGAGGTGGCTTATTTGTATCCATGGTAAATGTAATAATATAATTGTAATAAAAACTAAAAATAATTTGATTTTATTGTCCACATTTCACTACGCTATTTGATATTAATCATGTCAATAGAATTTTAATCGATCATGGAACTACTAAAAGCTTATTTGTTTATTAAACTTTTATTACACATCGATAATAGTACGTGTTTTTGGTTAGAAGTATATACTATAAGTTTAAGTAATCGTAATTATACTTATGAATAATATATCTGGATAAATGTTAGTGTTCAAACCAGTTAAATATTATCAACAAAAATTTGTGTAACACCTACAGCACATTTAGCTTATCGGAGAAAACATTTCAAATATATTGCATTGCGTATTTTTGACTCTCTAAAAAATAAAAATGAATTTTGAATTTCTAGACTACACATTTGTTGTTACATCTACTTATTCACAAAATCACAAACTTCACTATTGCACATGTAACTATGTAAACCCTTGCTGATTAAAAAAATTGATATTTACACTAAAATCACTTTTTATAAATATGTCTATTTAGTTGTATAAAATAATATTATATTTCAATGGTAATTTTATTATTATGAATTTTTATTATTCCAAGGGAGTCCCCAAATAAGTCGTTTTTAACTTAGGCCCTTAAATCGGCTATCTTCTCGGTTCGACGTTTCTAGACGCACTGCGCCGGGTTGCACGCCGTGCGATGATTTCGCCTCGGGAAAAATGGGCGGACCGAGAGGGCTGTTATGATTTGTAATATACAAAATGAACAATTGTGCTATGACTCAATCATCGATGATTAATAGGGTATTTTGGGTTTTAATTACTATTATTTTTAAACTATAAAAAAAAACATTTTGGGTTTCATACTACCGATATTATTTTAATGTAAATTCTACCCTTTGCACGCTTATTTATTTAAATTTATGTTATTATTTATCATTATTGTTAGATGTTAATTATTTAACAGTTGTAATAAATATAGTAATTAAAAAAAAATGGTGTTGTGATTCACTCTATGCTCAATCATATGTCCCTACCATTATATTACTGGATTTGTCTCTACTTTTGATAGTTCGTAATTTTGTGTTAATTCAAAACGCTTAGTTTCAATAATTATTAACTTCCCGTGGTGTAAGTTATTGTAATCGTCCAAAAATCGAAATTGAAAATTTTTACATTTCTTCACGTTTTGAAGGTTTCTGAACATTTTGGCATACCTCAGAAAAAATGGATGTGTGTGTGTGCGTGTGTGTGTATGTATGTATGGATACAATTTTTCGTCCACGGATCAACCGATTTGAATGATTCAAAAAACATTCGATTCCTATTGTTAGGGAGATGTGCTGATTAGTTTTTGGCAAAGGCATTTCCAACCGTTACGGAGATAAGGTGCAAAGAGTGCAAAAAATAGAAATCGAGCTTTTGAGAGATCGGAGCATCCGATTTGCATGATCTAAAAAACATTTAATTCGTAATGATGGCGAGAAGTGGTGATTTTGGCGAAGGCAGGTCTAGCGGTTTTGGAGATACAGCGCTAAATGTGCAAAATATTGCAGTTTTTGAGAGAACTAAGCTTCCGATTTGAATGATTCAAAGAACTTTTTGCTTGTTTTAATGAAATAATTGCTTTTGAAAAAAAAATTGTTACGATTTTTTTTTCAATTTTTTTTTTCAGAAAATATTTATTTTGTCGAAAATAATTCAGATTTTATTTTTAATTGTGACTAAAGTTCCAATATACTTTAAACAAATAATTTTAACTTTGCAATTCAGTTTATATAGTTCTTATAAAAATATATATGAAAACATTTAATATTTCTCGATCATTTCGTTACGGTACGGGAAGTTCCAGCAATTTGACTTAAGACACGATTCCATGCACCTCACTAGTTCAATCTTTATTTCAACAGTTACATCTATAATATAAATAATTATATTATTAGCTTGTTAATTTTTTTATTAAAACCAGGATAACTGATGATTCTATTTAGAACTATTATACCAAATAATATTAACTATTTACTACTCTATTAATACGTTTATGCTACTCTATAGTGCTTCTTTTTACGTAATTTTAAATCAATTTTATTTTAAATTTAATCATAATTTTATAAATAAGTTATTTTACTATGGTTATATAAATTTTTAATAATAACAATTTTTTATTTTATTTCACCTTTTGAATATAATATTTGAACTGAAATCTTTTTGGAGTGGTGTGATTTGTTATTTATTATTCTGTTGTTTTTCATATTCAAATACTAGATTGCATTAATAGTTAATCATTTAATATATAATATTAAAGATAAACTCATATACTGATTTGTTAATTATTTTAAAAGTGCTTGTTATTAAGAGTAAAATTATTCCGTTGGCTTACGAATTTTCGTGTTAATATTTTGGTGATAAATAAGGTATAATAACTTTATCTAAAAGAGTAATATGAATAAAATAAAAAAGGTACTGTTAAAAATTTATAACTATAATAAAAAACCAAGGAACTAAAATATGAATTTTCTTAACTAATAATCTAATTAAGTTTCTTATTAATCCTGCATTTAGTTAAATTATTTTTCCTAATATCATTAAAATCTGAGCGCACCAGGAAAGTGTAAACAAAACAATATCATATATCACAAATTATTCCCAGAACAAAATATCAAATAAAATTCTTCTATAAATTTGTAATTTGCTGATATAAGAATTTCGAATCGGTTCTCATAAAATCTTGAGATTTTTCTTGAGAAGTAATATAAATCTATATGAAATGTTTTATGAGTTTTGTCTTTTGCGCGTAAATAGTGTAAAATTACATGCATTTTTCGGTCTCACATTACAATAGAACACACGTTTCGAATTCTGAGTTCATTGTATTCTTGCTATTCTAAAAAAGCTTAATTCGGGAAAAATATAATATGTAAAATGAAACGTGACATAATACTTGAACTAGAAATAATTAGAAATGATACAGTTTTACCATTTGTTTCTATTCCACACATACTTTTCATTATAATATTTACTTGTATATTTTATGGCAAATGTTGTTGTTTATTTTGTAAATGAATATTTTATTCAATTCTATTTACTAATAAAAATTTATATAAATTGTGCTCGATTGATGAATTTGCGACTCAGTTTTCAATGCGTCATTTATTTATGACAAGTACATTAAATTTGAACTCTATGAAACATAGCAATGTTTCATAAATTGGTAAATAATATTTTTTGTGACTAATAGAATTAATTTACAACAGTCTTCATATTCAGAATTTGACTAATCGTAATAAGATATATATGAATATTTATAAAATCTACATTCAATGCTGAAATTCCTAAATCCGGTTTCCAGTACAAATGCTATTTTATCAGTACTGAGCTTTCGTCAGGGTCGTATTACAAAAGCTCTCGGAGCTTACAGGGGTAGTTTTGATGGCACGCCCTCGACACCGATCGATGGACCAATGCAAGGGATGGAACTTTGGGGAGGAGCCCTGAGATTATTCGAAATATGTGGCTGAAAGATCGCGACATATAGTGTTGGATTACTATAAATCACGGGGATACAAATTTTGAAAATTTATATTAATTATTTTAATATCTAATAGTGTATAATTTATTTAGACACAGGTATTGCTAATTGCGCTTTTCGAAAATACAATGTATATGTATTAGCACGTGTTTGTTCTTTCATAATTTGTAATCAAGAAAATAGTAGAAAATTGAATAAACTGTAATAGATTCTCATATTATAATGCTCTACACCAATTTGGTATACTTATGAACCACTCGTAAATTAATATATTGGTTAATAATACCTAAATATAATGCTAATAATAATAAATTAATACCATACTCAGGTGAAATCCCAAAATTTGTTTAATTTTCCATAATTTATAGCAACTTTTTTACGATCTCGATAATCGACTCAAGACTTCTTTAATCTTCCTTGATGTAAATATTTGACTAATTTGAAATTTATTTAGTTGCAAGTTATTTCGTACAAATTAAATATTATAAAAAAATGCTTCAGTATAAATATATTCATATATTTAATGTCCACTACTACTACTTTCTGATCTCTACTACTTTCTGATTATATATGATGATATTTATTATACAATTATTCATAAAATTTAATATTTTCTACTTTTTGCATCATTTTATTTATTTTAATTATTACTAATTACAATATCTGGTACCACAAGATATAGAAAAAAAAAATATAAAATAAAAGACAGTATTACAATGATATCCTTATAATTTAATATAAAATCAAAAGCAAACAATGATATAATAAAATTAATAAATTAAATAAATGAAATTTGTGAATAATATTAGCATAATTATTATATAGTTTCATAATTTTTTCAACATATTCAATACTATTTTTCTCGCAATTTTTTATATAAATATTTCAAATAATCTTGAGCATTTAATATTTGATCAATATTTATCTGGTTTGCCTAGTAATATTATTAAGTACCCGTAGGGTAAGTTATTGTAATCGTCCAAAAATCGAAATTGGAAATTTTTACATTTCTTCACGTTTTGAAGGTTTCTGAACATTTTGGCATACCTCAGAAAAAATGGACGTGTGTGTATGTATGTATGTATGGATACAATTTTTCGGGCGCACGGATCAACTGATTGGAATGGTTCAAAAAACTGTCGATTCCTATTGATAGGGAGATGTGCTGATTAGTTTTTGGCGAAGGCAGGTCCAGCCGGTACGGAGATACGGAGCAAAAAATGCATAAAATACAAATCGAGTTTTTGAAAGAACGGAGTATCCGATTTGAATGATCTAAAAAACATTGAATTTGTAATGATTGGGAGAGGTGATTAGTTTTTGGCAAAGGCAGGTCCAGCCATTTCGAAGATGATGAGCTAAATGTGCAAAAATGGCAGCTCTATAGATTTGAATGATTCATTGCGTGCGATTTGAATGATTCAAAGAACTTTCAGCTGGTGTTAACAAAATAATTGCTTTTGAAAAAAAAATTGTTTCAA